GCTGACAGCCCATGGTAACAATTAGCAGAGGCGGACAGGTGTGTGTGTGTGTGTGTGTGTGTGTGTGTGTGTGTGTGTGTGTGTGTGTGTGTGTGTGTGTGTGTGTGTGTGTGTGTGTGTGTGTGTGTGTGTGTGTGTGTGTGTGTGTGTGTGTGTGTGTGTGTGTGTGTGTGTGTGTGTGTGTGTGTGTGTGTGTGTGTGTGTGTGTGTGTGTGTGTGTGTGTGTGTGTGTGTGTGTGTGTGTGTGTGTGTGTGTGTGTGTGTGTGTGTGTGACTTCCTAATTGGCTGTGCACTCTTTCTGTTGACTTTTATGAAGCATTCTGCAGTGTTTGCATTCAAATGAGCGATCTGACAGGAGGATTGGCGTTTGGCAGGCAGGCACAGATGCCGGAAAGCCGCCGGTCATAACATTATCAGAGTGCAGGCGGTAGGTAGAGCAAATTTAGGTATGGATGCCATTGTTTGTTTCCCCAGTGTTTCCATTGATATGCAAGCTTTTGTTTAATCAAAGTGATTGTATTTCTGAGAAAACAATGTATTATTGAATGGCTGCAGGACTGAATTCAAATCAGAGACCTAAAGGTATGTGGGATTTGACCTGTTTGTCTACAGCTAACAGTGAGAGAATTTGACAAGTCTGAAGAAAAGGGTAAAAAAAAAAAGTGTATTCAATGCATTATTTATTCTCAAGTAGTTGAATATTTTGAAGAGCCATTTTAGGTAGCCCTTTTCAATAACAAATAAAAGCGAATTAATACTTCACTGTTTATTTAAGATAGGATGAGATAAGATAAACCTTTATTGACCGGCAATGCAGGTGTCTCAGCAGCAACAGCAACAAAGGTGAATCACAGGATAGGACAGATATTAATTCACACAAGGATAATTTATTCAGAGTCAAAGCTCAGTTAACAGTGACACAAAGCTCTGAACTATAGCAGGGCTCTCATGACTGCCCTTCAACTTCCGCTGCCGAGAAATCCCAACACAGCAGCAGATAATCAATGTTGTCAGGGAAGTTGATGAGCAGGTGCAGACATTATGCATAAACAGAACTATTTCCTTAATTAGTCCAGGCCACAGTCATACCAGTGTGCAAAATGTCACCACTTATTCTGACCTGCAGAGATAACCGGCAATCTCCTGATTATCTTTCCTGATTGTGTGACAATGTATGATCTTCTCTGGAGAAGAAGAAAAGTGTCCAAAGGCTTTGATGTGTGTGTGTGTGTGTGTGTGTGTGTGTGTGTGTGTGTGTGTGTGTGTGTGTGTGTGTGTGTGTGTGTGTGTGTGTGTGTGTGTGTGTGTGTGTGTGTGTGTGTGTGTGTGTGTGTGTGTGTGTGTGTGTGTGTGTGTGTGTGTGTGTGTGTGTGTGTGTGTGTGTGTGTGTGTGTGTGTGTGTGTCAAAGTCAAAGTGAGAGAGACCATCTGTTCATCAGCTGGACCATCACATGACTTACTGCTCTGCCACAGCCATTCCCTGTCCTTCATCTCCATTAATGAATTTCAAATAAATTAATATTTACTTCTAGCACTGATGTCACATTTAAATGCATTCTAGGCCACTGTGGTATTACGTTAAATACGCTGAAATGTAAATGAATGTTTTTTAAATATATTAGGATGGACGCTGACGCTGACAGCGACAATAGACGCTGCTATCTTGTCAAGCTAGGGAGAAGTTGAAATAGACGCATATTAAGGTGTTTGATTACTTGTGATAACCCTGTCTCTCACACACACACACACACACACACACACACACACACACACACACACACACACACACACACACACACACACACACACACACACACACACACACACACACACACACACACACACACACACACACAGGTAATCCTCCCCTCATATTTCCCTCATACACTGAACAGATGCTGCTGGAAGACCTGCTTAGAGAGGGGGAGAGCAGTAAGGAGCTGCTTTGATTCACATGCTTATCTGCAGGGTTCATGTTGCAGCAGACATGATCAGAATACTTGCCGAGCTGCCTGCCATGCATTATGGCTTCAAGTCTAAATATTAAGGGCTTTTATTATTGGACTGTCTCCTTCAGTGGCTTCCAGCTACTCCTGTGCATAGTAGACAGCGGGAAAATGAATATGAATTGCAAATTCACAAAGCTTGTCACCTCTTGCTCCTTACTCTCATTCTGAAAACACACCACGCATCAGTGAACTGTGGTTTGCTGCCATAATTACATTTTTCAGAGGCCAGGACACTTGTTTATGTGCTTCTCACAGAAATAAAATATTGGTTAGATAGGTCAACATGTCACAGGAGCCACAGGAATCTGTTCACTGCTCAGTAATTTGCCATAAAATCAAGACATGCTCCAAGCAGCCGCTGCAGCATTCTGTAGACATTGCAATGCAGCTCGCCGTAGGCCACATTTCTGCAATGCTCTGATGTGATTTTGGGTTGAGAGTGTGTAGATCCTCGTGTCCTGGAGAAAGTGTCGAGAGTACAGCCGCAGAGAAGTCACTTCATTACCAGTTCAGTTTAAAATGTTTGCTTCAAAGTACTTGAAGGGAGGTCTGATGGAAGAGTAATCAATAAGCAACTCGCCCTGCTTTGGAGGAAAGTGGTTACTGTAGTCGGCAGAAATTGATTAAGAGGGAGAGAAAGAGAGAGCAGTGCTTTAGATCCACAAGGCACTATTGCATTAGTAACCTTCTAACCCACTGAGGATCATTTATCTTCAGAGATATAATTTACGGTTGTTATTATTACATCAAAGATCAATTAAAACAGTTTTAACAAGTCAGAATTCAAAGCAATGTGCTTGTAAATTGAACTTCAAGCAATTGTCAAGTCATTATTTTTGGACAAAGATATCAGAATAAACTCATTTGTAAAGAATTGCAAATGAGGTTATTCTGACTTCCTGTGTGTGTGTGTGTGTGTGTGTGTGTGTGTGTGTGTGTGTGTGTGTGTGTGTGTGTGTGTGTGTGTGTGTGTGTGTGTGTGTGTGTGTGTGTGTGTGTGTGTGTGTGTGTGTGTGTGTGTGTGTGTGTGTGTGTGTGTGTGTGTGTGTGTGTGTGTGTGTGTGTGTGTGTGTGTGTGCCTTTGTAGTACATCAAGGTAAATGCCGACCTTTTAAGAAATACTTATTTTCTCCCTGGCCTTCACCTCCCAGGGACAGGAGCGATCAAGTGTGACAGGTGGAAGCAGGCCTATAATAAAGCAATAGACCTGGGCTCCGCCTGCTGCATTAGCTAGGATAAACCTGGTTTGATGTCTCCTCACACTCCATATGCCTTCCTGTCTTTAATTTGTTAAGAGTGTGTATACTGTGTGATCAGTTCCAGTAGTTTGTGGATGTAATAGTGTTATTATAGTACAACCACACTCATTTCAGCATATCCTTAGTCTGTTCAGTGCTGAATTTAGTTTGACATGATACAAGAGGTGGCAGCAATAACAAGAGGAAAGTGTTTGGCCTAGTTAGAAACAGTGAGCTGTCCATGGTCCTGAATCCATTTCATATCTCTCTGTGTTTTGCTCTCTTTGAGTTCACCTCAGTCTCTGCTTTATTGGCATGACATAGAGACTCCTTACAGTGCTAACCAGAGGGTGACAAAATGAATTGAATTTGCTGCACCCAAAGATCAATCTGATAATAACAGATGAGCTGATTTACAATCTTGTTTTGTATTTAGCATGGTTGCCCGTTTCCCCTAATGTGAGACAACAATCAACACATCATGCAAGAATTGACTGAAAACACATTTCTTCCTCTGTAAATTGGCTTGACATAAAATTTGCTTAAGGCTATACTAAAGCAATGCACCCATGAAAGTAGGCTAACACCTACCTACTTTTTTCTTATTTTGATTTACCTCAACTAAAAATCCTGTAATCCTATACATTTTTCTGCTGAACATATTTGAATGCATGTTGTGCAGTCACACACATTGTTATGCATTTGCCCTACAGTTCCAAATAGCCATTGGCTTCCATTCATTTCTGCTCTGAACTCTATTAGCAGTCTCTTGAAACAGGCTGATGTTGGGTAATCCATCACAGTGAAGTAATGAAGGCTGCAAGTCGCAATATCATTACCATATGTTGTAATGCATTTCATATGCAGATCCATAATGATAACAAAACTTGGACCACCATTAAAGGGGCACTCCACTGATTTTACACATAAAGGGCAGTGTAATCTACAATATGAGAAGTACTACTCAGCTTGTGGGAAAGCTGTAAGAAATGTCTTTTGTGTTTTTTGAAGAGTGTTGACATGTATGAGAGAATGACCCTGATGATGTCACCAGGGTTTTCACAGCTTGAGCAGAATACCCTGTGTGACAAATTGAGGTTTGGGTGTGGGGTCTGAAAGATGAGGTAGTTTACCTGATAGGGGGGTCTTAAAAGATAACGATGTTGGTATTGTGGCACGTAAAGCATTGTGGGTAATGTAGGATCTAGTGTTTTCAGACCTGACTCACCTGCATCAATTTTGATTATCCTTTTTTCATGTCTGTTTCTTGTAAATCTCTCATTTTTATCGAAGTGCAACACTCACCGTTCTTAACCATTTGTATGCAGACCTGATGTTTAAAATAAATGGAAATGAATGAACGCCAATGGCTGCCTGAAACTGCACAATCACATGCTAAAACTAAACATGTTTATCAAAATGGTTGTTTAAAGTCGGCGTACAAAAATAGAAAACACGGAAATAACATTGGAAGAGTCATTTCAATGAAATCGTCTTCATACAAGTGGAAGTGAATGATTGGTAGCCTAAATACACTGAAGCCTTTCACTTGTGATCATCTCTCCCTCTCCCTCTCTCTCTTTCTCTCTCTCCCTCTCCCTCTCTCTCTCTCTCTCTCTCTCTCTCTCTCTTTCTCTCTCTCTCTCTCCCTCTCTTTCTCTCTCCCTCTCTCGCTCCCTCTCTCTCTCTCTCTCTCCCTCTCTGGAGTTTGTTGGTTGGTTGCAGCAGTGTCTCAGTATCTGCTCTCCTGACACACGGAGGCAGTTCTCCTCTCTGTCTGTTCTGTCTTTAGTATCTTAACGGTGAGGTGAATGTAAATCTCGGTATGGAGGACCGCGGCTCTAGTTTCCCCCCCCCGTCGGAGACACACAAACTCACCGGACAATTAAGGCGTTAAAGGGCACATACCGGCCGGTTGTCAACGGAAAACGCCGCTGCTGTTGTTTTATCACAGTGAGGCTCACTAATGTTTACTTCTTCTTCTTCCTCCTCCTATTCTTTTTATATCTACGCGTCTTCGAAAACAGATGCCCTGCTCGGGAAGTTACGGACAAAACGCGGATAGATCCGCCAAGCCGTCTTCTCCAATTTTCAAGAGGAGCTCTCCCCCGAAGGTAAAACGGTTCCAAAACTGTTGAATTGATGCTCGATGTTTGTGTCTTTTAGCCCACGTTTCGCCCACTGAATAGACGTGTGTTCACTTATTTAGTGACATATCTTTGAGGAGTGAACATTTCGTCCAAATTGGATGACTCATGCTGAATCCAAATGTTGTTTTGGAGTCAATAGGCTATTTAACTGCGCCTTTGTGGGTTTAAAAGACATGCAGTTTCTTGAACATTTGGCCGGATGTCGGGGTTGCAGGTGTGTATGTGGTTAAACAAAACAACAGTGGGCGATCTGTCTGTGTGATGTTGTGATGTGTGACTGAAATGATTCAGCTCCTCCTCCACGGTTTTCTCAGCAATTTTATGTTTGACAGTAAAATAAATGCGTACTGGAGGTTTGGAGTCTTGGCTGGTATGGACATTTTGACTTGTCAGATTGGGTCAATAAGATGTTTATCATAGACTAAAGGGTTCATTCCCTGCCTTTGTGTAAACAGCATTTAGTAAGTAGTCAAATATGAGTTTGAATGCATTGTGCCACAAATACAAAAATCACTTCCTACATTATGACTATGGAATAGAAGAGTGTGTTTCTCACAATATTTGTTGCAATACAATACGAAACAGCCTGTCCTCCAAGAACAATTCAGAGCCTACACTCCACCAATGTCAGGTGGCCCAAATGAAACTAGAGACTTGTATTATCTCCAATGGTTCCTGTTGAACATAAAGAGGCATGCTTTTATTGGTTCAAAACACTCAGATACCCTTGAGATGAGTGAATCAAGCAGCTTTTTCTCTACTCTGACAAGAGAATTGTGACAAACAATATCTGTGTTTTATGGGCGATGAAAGACATTGCATTTAGTAGAATGCTAGTTTCTGCAAATAATGAAATATTTGGGTGTCTTTCAAATGACAAACAATTATAAGAAGGCCACCATGTTCCCACTGGTGCATCCTAACATGAGGCCTACTTCTAGAGATGATGATTTAGCTCAGGATCCCACTCCACTATTCACAAGGTCAGTGAATCCACAAACTCATATGAATCACCCATCCGGCTCCGTCCACTCAGCAGTCACTCACTTTCCCACAGCAGGGATGAGCAGGGCCAGCTAAAACATATTGAGTATAGAGATACCAGAAAATAAGATATTGACAAAAAACTGGCAAGCAGAATAAGATAGATCCTGCTGTCTCTCTATGTCACTTTGAAGGAGGCAACACCATTAATTGATCCAGATCCAGCAGTGCTCAGCCAGGGATACTAATCAAGTTAAATCAATAGTATTTTTCCCCCAACAGTTTAATTAAATTAACTCTACTGTAGATGACATAAGACGAGTTGTAATCACTTGATGTACTACAACAGGCGTGGATCTGTTAGTATGTTGCGGTGTCTTTCATTCCATCAAATTAATGGATTTAGGTCTACAGTAGCTACCCTTTTAGCGCAGCCTTTTGAGTGACCTGATAAGTAGCCTAACTGCTGTGTTAGTGGCCTCAATTTGCTTCAGCTGCAAAAAAATGACAGTAAAAAAAAGCAGGCTACGCTAACTCATAGCCATTTATGTCCATCTTCCCGCTCGCTCTCTCATCCACTTTCACACACTCTACCTCTCTCTTCCTCCTGCGAGTATGCACTCACTCAAACTGTGTCTCATCGCATCTCATCATTCTCAGCGGCACTCTGCCCTCTCTGCTTGTCTCTGTCACACACGCACACAAAAAGAGGCGCACCAGCTAACAGCCATGTTGGACATTATGTGATCAAATCTGTGGAGTTTGCACTTCCCTCTTCTGTGCATCATCTCTGTGTCACACTTAGGTTGTCTGTGTTTATTTTCTTGGTTCATTGTTGACATTCTGCACTTCATCTTGACTTGTTGTTTCCAGTATATTATGACCCCTCTTTGACCTTAGAACGAGGTTATCTGTTTGTTTTGGTATATGTTACCAACGTATGTGTGTCATGTGACATATTATGGACAGAAAGAAAGAGCACCAGAATTAAACTCCCAAACCCCAGAGGGATACTGAGGGCAGGTCATTATTATTTTCTCTAATGCGCATTGGCTTCATTTTAGAAGGATGCTATATTGCAGAGGGCCATTTATAATGTATAGAGCAGTCCTGTATTAAATATCTGCAGAGTCGGAGGTGTGTATTCCACCGCTCAGTCAGGGGGGGCTTGATTACACCATATTGCCTCAATGAAGGCATTATGAGGATTTCGGGATAAATATTTCGCTCTTGTGTTTCTGCAGATAAAACGTTGCTATGTTGAGTTTTTGGAGTGTGTGGGTGCAGTCATTATTAATTTTTTAGTGGATGCGTTAATGTTACTGCAGAAAATATGGGTTAGAATGTTGGCATCTTATAGAAAAAGGTTTAAGAAAAAAAGTTGGTGTCACCACTGCTGAAATCCAAGGATGAAAACATAAAAGGAAGCGTGGGATCATGTACCAACAGACTGAAGCTGCAGAAACAGATAAAGTAGCAGAGGTCTATATTTAAACGGCCTCACTAGAGAGATAAGATGTCGTCATTCCCCACAGTTGGAAACTGTGTATGCTGAAGAAACCAAATCTTTCATATCGCTGTGTCCTTTTTCTTGTTCTTTATAAATCTTTAAAATAGATCACAGCCTCACATCTATTTGAGATATTGGTACAGGTTGTTTTTTGGATGAAGAGCATTCGGTTTTCATTTGAGAGCTAAAAAAGACATCACATTTGTTTCTTTACTCTCCGTGGCAGGTATAACCAGCAATATCAAAACTGAATAATTCCGACATTGAAAAAGTCACCCCCTTGTTCTCTGTTTGCCACAAGTTATTCGCCGTTATATAAAAACAATCCCATGGGATATTCGACAACAAGATAACTGTCGTAATGATAAACTATAGTTAAAAAGTAAACTGGATGCAAGCAAAGTACATTTCAGGAATGTGTTCCTTAAACTACAGTGATTGCAGAACTGAATGAAATAAATGTTAGTCATTCAGATGAAGTCGTGGCACATTTCGCACCCATCTGCTCATTACTCAATGTAACACTAACAGTCACAGAATAGTGTATAATTTTAGAAAATGTGCAAGTGTCACTGCTGCAAGTCTCTCTCCTCGTTTTGCTTACTTTTCTTCCGTTTGCTCTCACCTGTCAGACTTTCACATTTCAGCTGTCATGAGCACAAACTTGCTGAGTTTATCTAAAACCAAAGATTCGATTGTGCACCCCACCCACTCCCAGCCTTCTATTTTTCAGGCTTGAAATTGCAGCAGTGTATTTTGGGGATAGCTGTCATGCAGTAAGACACTTTTGACATCAATTAAAGCCTCCTCTCCGAGTCAAAAACATAACAGAATCCTAATTAAACCGTACGTCTCACTTTCCGAAGGTGGCAGGCTTAAGAATGGGTGCCTCTTTTCACTTGCCCTGCAGCTAATAGCCATGCTAGCTGGGCTGGACTGGGACACGAGGGTTGGCACAGGTTCAGGCTGGCAAAGGAGTAGCTTTACCACTGAGGCTGTTGTAATTCTGCACACAACATGACATGCTACCATGGTTGGCGTGATGCTCGTTAGCACTGCAAAAAGGGAGGAATTACAACACATTGGTCGAACTAATAGATTCAGAAAAACTGTGGATTATTTGTACCATTCACTGGCTGTGTTTTCCATTGATTACTCCTCCAGTGTTTGTGCCTAGCAAATATGTCAGGGAAAGAGGGGGAAGATAGCATTTAGTTCGATAAGCATAGTGCGGTAATGCTAATCTTTTCATGAAAATGTAAGTTGATGCAATACTGCATTAGCACCCCGGTCAGACGTGGTACAGGAAACATGTTGTACAAAGTTTGCATACTGATTTCTAAAATGTTTATCGACCGCCTATTAGAAATGCATGTTATTCACTGAGGAGATTCTTTACTCCCTGGCTCTTCACATCATATATTCTGTAAACTTAAACTCTGTGGTACTCCGATGATTATTCACTTTTTTTAAATATCTACCACTTAAAGTTATGCGAAACACCCACCTAAGTTCAACAAATGTTTACCTGGCCCTGGGAGAGATCCAAATGATTCTCAGGTTTTCATACAAATGAAAGCAGTTGTTGTATGCGTTTGCTTTTATGTGTGTGTCTTGATATTGTGATGGACTGAGTCATAGTTGTAGGAAATGTCTGGTGGTCAGTCAGTCCCCAGACTAACCTCCCATTTCTTGGCCGTGTAATGGCTCGATTAAAGCATACACACACACACACACATTAAGCAAATTGAAAAAGGATTAAGATGTGAATGTCAGGTGGTTACTCTATTTGTGTCAGTGCCATCCATGAGATAACTTTAAGCCATTAACAGACCGAATACCCAAAAGAATGCAACGTGTTTTATAGCGTTGGCATCTGGATTAAAATCCTGTGTGCAACGGCAATTATTTTGTGTTTGTCTGGAAAGTGATCGTCAGGAGACTTTTTGTTTTCAGCTTGTTTAGCTGATAGAATATCCTTTTTTCTTTGAGGGGAATGTGTGAGGCAAAACAGTATCATTGAGGCCGATGGCGTGTAAAAAGTCGTTATGACAGATCCATGTTAGGTTTATGTTTGTGTTCTCATGAATATGTGTGTATGTGCCTCTTTGTGTGTCTGTGTTCAAGGTTCAAGGTTCAAGGTTCTTTATTGTCAATCTGACATAGCTACAGAGTAATTATGCAGTTGAAAATCTTATGTCACAGGCTTCTCCAACAATGCAACATAATAACATAACATAATAACAATAAGAGCAAGAGCAATACAAAAATAATAATAGTTATAAAAATGAAATAAAGTTATGATGTGGAATAGTGCAGTATGAGTCTATATACAAGTTATTGGAATGATATATATATATGAGCCGTGGTTTGTGTCTGATTGTGATGCAGAAGTCCATTGAAGTGTAAGAAATGTTTTTCTCTCTTGAGTGAAATTATTTCCTGGTCTTGTCAGCCAATGTAGAAGAAA